GTTTAATGCATTTTGTGAAAAGTTCAATCAGTGATCAATAATTAATACTGGAGATGCATTGTAATTGTTTTTGTTGGGTTTTATTTGTGCAGGATTACTGTATTTTCAGCAAGGCAGAGAGATGCAGCTCTATAAACTAGTCCTGTTCTGTTGCTTTTAATTATTGTTGACATGATAAAATGTGTCTGTTTTGAATTATTTAAGAAATCTGATCTATTGAAGATTGGTATTGGCGGCTCAGATCCTCTTGGTGTCACCTTTTAATTAAGTTGAAGTAATTTTTATTGACACGAGTTTTAAAATGTCTTTTAGATTTTCCTCTTGTTGCCTGACAGTGTTTGGATTCATGTAGTTTGGTGTTTGGCGGCATGTCTGGACGTGTCCAAGGGAAACAATCTGGGATTAGCTTCCTTTAAGCTTCCTTTAACTTTAACTTCACAGATGTTTGGCTCACTTGTGAATAATGTTAGCCTGAGCGCAGTGAGAGATGGATGACTTCCTGTTGGTGGGTCTTCTTGGAGATAAAATGTTTATTGATCAAATGGATCAATTGTGATGCTCATTTTGTGTTCTTCGTAATCAAAGAAACAAATCTTTATGTAGCCGTTACCACGTTTTAATGAGGTTGTGTGACAGGAAATCTTTTTGTGAAGAATGTTGTTTTGGTGTGCATCACGCAGAAGCAGTCAAAAGTTTGACCATAATAAAAAATAAATCGCCTCTGTGTTTTATTTCTCCCTCAGATCTTTAGAACCAGAAATATAGTTTCAAGCAGGAAGAAAACATAAAAGTGCTTCTGATTCCATGCAATGATGCAGATAAAGTCTGAGTGCATCATAGACGTTGGGTGATGGGATGTAAATGCCGTCTTGATGGTTAAAATTAAATTTCAATGAGTGCTGGATGATAGCACCACTAGAGATAAGTAGGGTAATGAATAAGTAACAGAGTCGACATGTATCTAGGTTATATTTAGGTCGTATATTTAGCCTTTAGATTAGCTACAGTAAGAAGTTTTTTCTGCTGCCTCATCCCAGGAGTCTGTGCTGGCCTCAAAGTTTTCTTTCATTTAGAAAAGATGTTCTTTGTTTTTATTGCAGACTGAAATGTTCACATTGCACTGATCTCCTATTGAAGCTCTCCTATAAGAGTCATTTTAAAAAAAGCTCTATCTCGTTAAAAATATATATTTTTTTCCTCACTGTTTGACATCAAATCAGAGGAAACTTCCTGTTTTAACTCTGTCAGGGTTACCAGTGGCTTTGGTTTGATAAAAGCCAGAAGAATTGATTTTTTTTTTCCTTGGCTTTTCTTCCTCAGACTACTCACAATGGTGGATTTTGTTTTACTTTTAGCTTTATTTTTATGGTCCAAAGTATATTGTTCAACTTCCTTGGTGATGTTTTGAAATGAAGCTTCAGTATTTCCTCCTGATGCCAAATATTTTGAGAAGTGCACCAGTCCCTCCTGCAGCAAAACACCAACATAACATGATGCTGCAACCCGCCCCTGTACTTCGCAGTTTGGATACATCCATTGTTTAGAGAGCCAGAATGCCTGCTGGAGTAGCTTTGCTTCATGTTATAGTTTATTGCTATATTAAATTTGCTCTTATCTACACAGAGTTTTTATGGTGGTAAAACCACTGTAATCTTAACAGCCTCTTATCCTACAGGTAATTACGAGGGGAGAAGTGTAATCTTATAAAACAGGGATTGCACAGTTAGACCCGGTTGAGTGCTGACATGTAACTTTTGCACATAAACATTAGACCCAAATGAACTGGCCAAGATACAAATTCACCACATTCATCAAACTGTTGTGTTTAAGAGCAAAGGGCCGACCGAATGTGATTTCTCCTCCGACTGAATTAGCTCAGGTGGAGAGGGAATCGTTATTATCTTCTTTGTCTCATCTCCATAATGTTTGCGTATTTCATTAGGGGGGGATGCAGAATGAAACATAATTATGTTGTACCCCAGCTGACAACTGCTCTGTCACCGGGTGCATTAAAAACACGGCCGTGAAGAAAGACCACGCGGCGCCGGCTCATCTCTCACAGTTTGACAAGGCTACTTACTCTGAGTTCGTGAAAGGAGCTAATGCTTGCCTCGTACACACAACCGTAACCTTAAGCTCATTAGAGGAACAAACTTTCTCATTTCGAGCTCCTCCGTCTCAGGAAAGACTGAAGAGCAATTAAACCAGAGCAGACAAATAAACTGAGGGGGAATAATCTTTCTGAATCACCTGGAAAGTCAAGTAGATAAAAAAACAAAAAAACAAAACCGAAACTGGGTTTCTCTATAAGGTGCAGTCGGAAAGTCTTGTAAGAAACTAGGTTGGCCTATTTCTGCATGTTTACTTGCAGCCAAGTACAAATTAACCTCCCAAGATCAACAATAAACCTAATTAGAGTCGTGTTCGGCTGCACACATCTCTAAACACAGATCACAGCTTGTTGGGAGATGAATCTCCATCTGTCTGGCTGAACAGTGGGAGGAGGAGAGTCTGAGAAGATCCGTCCCAGGATTCCTCTAGTGGAGCACGCTGTGTGTGTGTGTGTGTGTGTGTGTGTGTGTGAGGGGCCAGGGGGTTGCTTCCCCCATGTCAGCCCGTGTTTTATGATGTCACGCTGCAGAGGGGAAGTGGGACATGGCACATACAGGGAGAACACGCCGCTGGATTTGAGGATGTTAGGTGAAGTTGGGGGGAGGGGGAGTCCTGTCACGCTAAGGGGCTCAGACAGGAGCAGCTCTGCCCTGCTATCCGACACTCACCACTGTAGCTCAGGCTGCCAGACGCTCGAGGAACACAAAAGTGTGGGATTGATATTTTGCTATGTTACGGACACAAGCATGATTGGATTTTATGTGATGTTCCAACCCTTGATTGTTGATAGTAGATCAAATCTGTTTATGATGGTTTTCCAGGCACGTGGCGCCATTTTACCACACAAAGAACTAAGTTACCTGTAGTTGTTTTAAAAAGGCCATGTAACTTAAGACATTTGATTTTTTAAATTTATTGCCTTGAAGTTGGTCCTCTGTCTTGTTAAACTCCTGCCCCTCCTTCAGGAAGTCATCACAACATGGCTCCTCTATTAACCCTTTAAAAACGCGTTGCACTGAGAAGTAGTTTCACCAGGTGTTTGCTAATTGCTGCTGGCTAGTCTAAAGGAGCTAAGAGGAGAAGTCGCAGGGGAGTTTGGCTTTATGAAATGAAAGCTCAGAAGATTATTTCATGCTTATTTGGGAAATCCTTTAATCTCCCATGACAACCATTCAGGGGTGACTAAACATTTGCTCTCTCCGATCGCTGCCTTTTCGACAAAGCTCCTCCTTGGAGCTGCAGTCTCCAGCCGGGTTTGTACTTCACAGAACACCCCTCCCCACACGTTCCCCACTCCGCTCCTCCAGACTAGCAACAGCAGCTATTAGCAAACACCTGGTGGAACTGTGTGTCTGCTGAGCTCGTCATATGAGCTACTTCTCTGCCGAAACTGTTATAAACGTCTTTCCAGAGAAATGTTGTGATGACTTTCTGAAGGTGGCGTGTTGGAAAGAGTGGGAGCTTCTTAAAGAGACAGAAGCCTAATTTGAAGGAGTTAAGTTACAACGTAATTTAAAAAAAAAGTCTAATTCATGTTTGAGATATTCAGTATTTTTTATAACTGAAAGTATCTTGTGCTATGAAATGGCACTATGTGCATGGAAAATGCATAACACTTCTCCTTTAGCCTCCTAGACTTTGACTAAGCCATTTAAATTCTTAAAAATGCCTTGACCCAAACTAGTCTATTGTCGTCCTGATAGGTGAGGCTCCATCCCAGTCTCAAGTGTTTTTTTCTTTGTTTTCCCAGGATCAATCTGCCTCCATCTGGTTTTTCTTCTTGCCTCTTTGTGGACTAATCATTGTTGGTGGGTAAAGATATTCTTTGACTTGAGCTCTGGATCGCTGCAGGTCTTGGTAAGTTTGCAGTTCAAAAGATAAAATAAAAAAGGTTGGGAACTTGTTTTCAAGCCCAACTCTTCTTTAAACATTTCCATAACTTTCTCTCTTACCTGTCTGCTGTGCTCCTTCATGCTCGTGATGCCGTTTGTTCACTAATATTCTCCAACAAACCTCTGCGGGTTTCACAGAACAGCTGCATTTCGTCTATTGAGTGAGCCATTTCTGCAGGCAGTTGGTTGCACTGCATTTTATTAAAAATGACGAATCATGAAAGCAGTTATATGATGCTTCTTTTTCTGAGCAATGTGTTTACTTCATTTTTCTCCAAATCCAGCACAGATTGGTCATTTTTTTCCCCCCACCAAAGACACACAAAACTTGGATCCATTTCATTAATTCATCCGGTATAAAATATTAAACAAGATATCGATTTCTCCTCTCTGCTCCTTGCTGCTCTTTAGTAAAGGAAGAGAAATTTGAGTCATAAATGTTGAATGATTTTAAAAAAGCCCCCCACTTTTTTTTCTGGAGGTGTATTTTATTCTTTAAGCCCCTGATTATTTTCCTGAGATGCCACTAGAGCCGTGACAGCGTTTTCACTTTGCCATTGACACTGGGTAAGATAAAGCAGTGGGAACACCGAGGTCCAAATATGTTGCTTTTATAGGGAGGAGCTGTCCCATTCATCATGTGCTGTAACATCCAGAGCTCTAGGGAAGCCCTGTCCATAAGTCAGCACAGAGCAGGTAGCGTCTGCTCTGCCAGATAATAAAATGAAGATGGAACCTTTGACTGAAATAAATTGAAAAACAGGTAAAAATAATCAGTCGAAATGGGAAAATGTTGGTTTTTTCCCACTATTTGTTAACTCTGGCTGTAGTTTTGTATTTGAAATTGTTTTCATGATTGGTTTTCTTTGTTCCTCTGTGGAGGTCAAACTGGTCAGTTTCACACCTGGGCTTTTTTTTTTACTACACAGCCGTGTTGTGGTAATAGATGAGCACTTTGGTTTAAATGGTCTTACAAACAAGCAAGGCATTCTCTGATGAAGACATCTAAACGATGTGGTGTGTTTGCTGCTGTAGCCATGCAGATTTTTAAATGTGGAAGAATGAGGAACACATTGTGCCTGTGTGAGTTTTGACAATTAGAGGATGCAGCTTGATTTTTATTGATCAAACCAGATGTCAGATTTGAGCATCATTTTTGTCTCCAGCCCAGAGAAAACTGCAGATTGTTTTCATTGTTTATATTTTTCTTTGCATTTGTAACCGGGCTCTTGGCTGCTATTGTGTAAAAACACGTTGGTTTTAAATGGCAAGTGTTTTACACAAAATATAACAAAAATGAACATCATCCAAATAATGTTTAAACACAAAAGTAAATGTTCAGCTGTAGAAATAACCAACATACCTGTAGCATGGAACAGAAACCCTGTATTTCCACAACAGGAATATAAATTCAGTCAATTTATTCACCTACCATTATTTAACTACCACTGCCAAGAAGCAAAATACAAAAACAAGAATAATTTAAAAGGTTCAGCACATCTTTTATTTGAATTAGTGCTCATTAGTTGGTGTTAATTACTAATTTAGTGTAGAGATTGTTCAACCAGCTGAAATTGGATCCGCTAGACCAGACGGCTTCTATAAACACGGTTTCCTGTCACTTGGATGAAACAGAGAAGATACTGACTATTAGAAGCAACTCTGGAGAACCACTCAGAAAACTTCAGAATTTCCCTTTAATCTTAGATTTTTCTCAGGATCTTTTAATTATTACATTTCATTTTTCTTTATTAGGGAAGAATTGTGGTTCCATATTTTTTATGCAACCACAAAAAAAAAAAAAAAAAAATCTGTTTATAATCTGGATTAAAAAAAAGAGACACAATTTTAGTTTTCAGAAATCAGTTTTAATAACAAAGTGGTTATTAATTTGTACCATTCTCCATTACATATTCCATGGAAGGACAGTCTTCATAACCATTTTGTTTTTCCCCCAAGTTCTAAGCATACAAATAACCTCAAAATGTTAAAAATATAAACGTTTCTTAAGACAATAAAACAAACTCGGTGACAAACAAAAGGAAGGTAGGCAGGGATATGGCAGCTTACGCGTCGCGGTCAGACAGGGTTAGTCAACAAGAATAAGCTTTGCTTGTTGATTCAGCCGCAGACAAACTTCATCAAATCACCAGCGAAGTCTATCAAAGTGGGGAGAAGTGGATAGAAGTGGATATGTGGCAGCTGGTAACTGTTTACCAGAAGACATGCTTAGCAAATAGTTCACTCTGTTAGCGGCAATGTTGCCTTTACAAATCTTGGAACAAATCTTTCCTTTGTCTGCGCAGAGTATCTTGTAAAGTGCTCGGTCAGTGAGTGACTAGGAGCCTTGGAGTTGACCTTTGCACTTCATACCCCTGCCTCCTCACTTGTATGAGAACCATCAGCATTCAGTAGCGTGTAAAACTGTTCATTCCCCTTGAATTTATTCACAATTCATCACATTAAAACCACAAACTTTCTTGCATTTAATTTGGATTTTATGCGACAGGCCAACATGACATGCATATTTATGAAAGTGGATATATGGATTTAAACTGGAGTTTCAGCTCTTTTGTAGCTTCTCATGTATTTTCCTTAGAAGAAAAGCATCCCCACAGCATGATGCTGCCACCTATTTGGTGCGTTCTATATTAATTGGGTGACTTCTGAAGGCAATTTTTTTGCAATGAATTGTATTTAAGAGTGTTTCTGTAAATACAACACAGATAATCCTGCTTCCAAAAACACGGCATCCTTAAAAAGTCTTAAATTCAAGGTCTTAAAATGTAAATAAATATTTTAAAAAGGCAAGTTTTCATTAAATATGTTAATTATAGGTCCACATTATGACAGGACTACTTAATTGTATATTATTTTTTCAAGTGGTACTTTTTCCTGTCAGGCTAAAGTTTGAGTCATGAACATCTTCATTGCGTTTTGTGACTCGAGGTAGTTGAAGCTAATGCTAACTACCTCTGCTAGTTAGCTAACTGGCTATCAAGGTTATTTATGAATTTATCATCTTTTTGAACATTTCTGTTGTGATTTAATTCATGATGGTCTTTAAAAAGTTCTAAAGTTGAGATGGTATAACCTGAGGAAACATCCCTTCTGGTATTTGCACAGTTTTATCTTCATTTAGCCAATTGTAAATATTTCTTAGAATCTTTGAATCGGATTATTTTTGGTAACATTTTATTTTTAAATTTTGTCCTTACTGTATCAGTTTTCTTTTTAAAGTAACAATTCTAATGAAATGCTCTGAAGTTTGTGGTTTTAAATGTGAAACATCTCTGGTTATTATCATCAGCTGAGGTTTGTTAGTAACGAGCACAAAGATGAAGGTATGATTGGCTGCTGTTCACACGACTATAATGGATCAGTTCAGGCTCGTCAACCTGAAAGGCTCCAGCTCTTACTTTCTATTAAAACACGATGGGATGAAGAGACAACAATCACAGCTACGATGAGGGATGTTTTCTTCTAGGAATCTCTTAATTTGACGTTTAGCAAAGTTTTTCTGTCCTGCATGATGTCAAATTTCCTCAGCTTTCGGTTTGTGAAGCTGTTTTTGGTTGCAGGAACCTATTACAATAACTATTATTTACTCTACTTGTTTAAAAATGTTTTTTTTTTTTTAGATGATAAATACATAACTTAAAATCACAACAAATCTACTTTAAAAACTGGTCATCAATATTGACCAAAATGAGACTTTTTATGATGTCTGTACAGCTTAAAGGCTAATTGAAAAGAACTTTCAGGGTTAAATAAGTTTTTTGAGCCAAACTGAATAATCAAAATGCAAAAAACCTGCGTGGTTTTGCAGATAAACATCCAATATCATGGCAGATCTGTGTTGTTGGAGGACTGATCTAAAAAAAACAAAAAACAGAAAAAACAAAACCAGGTCTTATTCGAAGCTTAAAATTGCCCAGGTGTGGGGTTGCGAGGAACAAAGGGTGAGAAGCGATTACAGAGAGGAAATCACTTCTTTTGACAGCGCATCTCTATCACTGCTGTGTACAACACGTCCTCAAAACTGCCGCCACCGCAGAGTCCCTTATCCAGAAAACTCATTCTCAACGCTTTCGCTCTGCGACAGCTCCAACCTGATATTCAGCTCAGAGTTATTGTCTTCTTAAATATGCAGACTGCGCGGAGCGTTGTGGGCGTACCTCGAGCCGAGATGATGTGTAAAATTGCATTTTTTAGATGCGCGCGGGCAGAGGGAGGGGAGGCTCCGTGAAACAGACGCCAGCAGATCGTTTAAATGAAAAACCTCCATCTATCCAGCCCAGGAAGTCGAGACCACTGCATCCCATTTTCCCTGGGCTCCTGTTCGGATTACTGGGGCGGCATGAGGCGCGCAGGCACACGTAGCCCAAAGCAAAGTTATACTAAAGTAACTTGTGTCATGGTAAAAGGGTCACTTATGTCATTAGTGCTCAGGAACCGGAAGGCGTTTGGAGACTCGCTCGCTAAGACAAGCATCATCCGGCCTGCTGTGGCCCTCCGTCTGTAATTCTGGTCATGCCCCGTCTCCGTGTGGATTTAATGGTTGTTTTTAGTAGCATCCGCTTACAGTCTAGTGAAGTAAGGGGACAGAGCCGCCCTTAGCGTGAATATATGAATAAATAGTTTACATTGAAATGTGAAAGTGGGTCCTTGCAAAGAAGTGAACCCACAGACTTTCTGCAAGAGGAGAGCTCAGACGGTGTCGGAGATCCAGCAGAAGTAACCGCGCACCGATTGATTTCTGGAAACCTGTCGATTCTTGTTTCTGTCTGAGACAGAGAAATGAAACCGTCTTAACGTTAAACCATTTCTCAGAAACATCCCTAGTGTTTAAAAAAACAAAACAAAACAAAAAAAACAGGGAAATTCTCCAGTGTGGCTATTATTTTATAAGAAATAAATCCACTGTTAAATAGCTGCAATAAATGATTATGGAAGACGTTGGCCCCTGTGTTGGAGCACAATTTGATGCCCTACACACAGAAATGTTTTCTATACTTAAGAAATAAAAATAAAAAATAAAAATAGTTATATTATGCATTTTGAAAATACAAGTTACCCAGGATATTACTGTAATTATAACAGGCCTGTGATGTATTTGGTGAAAACAAAAGGCGGTGGTGTGAACTCAGGGTTGAGTTTGGTCATGACATCGTTTTTACATCATACAAAATTAGAAAATAAATGCACAAAGTCAAATGTAAAATAATATGATTGTAGATTAACAATAAAGGTTCCCACATACTTGGGTGCACTTCCTGCCGCACAGAGTTCACATCGAACCATTTTAAATGTGACGGTGGGCCGATAAGGTTGAAAGCCGATGCCAACTTGGGGACAAAATGGAGTCAGAATTTGAAGAGTGTCTGACATAAGAGATAACAAATATAGTATGCTGCATTAATGAGGGAATATGAAGGAAAGAGTTACACGTGATGTTTGCCGACAGTACGGCCGAGTATGTGGGAGCCTCAACTCTAGAGGGCCGGTTCTGTCGTGACCACTTGGCGTGGACGATGGTGGTGGCAGGAGTTCGCCCCACAATCTGCATTCGATCCCCGGCAGCCCTCAGCTTGTGGGCAGATGTGGCTACTCTCCAGTAGCTTGCCGCCATCAGTGTGTGTGTGAATGGGTGAATGACTGACTGTAGTGTGAAGTGATTTGGGCCTCTAGACTCGATACAAGGACAAGCCATTTATTATTTGAAATGTAACATACACAAAAAAAATTAAAAATAAAATGTAGTTTTTTTTAAGTTTCTTCCATGTTCATTTTAAAACACCTCAGAGTTAGTGAAACTGGTTGATTTCAGTAACAACTGCCAGTGTGAAGAGTGTTGTTCTGGTGCGCTCATAAGATTAGAAGTGGATTCTGCAGGGTTATAATTTAGTATCTAAGGGAGCAGTCATAGTTTTCGCACAGCTCAATTTTCAAAACTTAACCCTCCCAACCACCCCATAATCCAGCTGTTTTTTTTTGTTTTTTTTTTAGCCCTGTTGTTGAAAAAAGTGCCATAAACACATAATACCTTTTGAACATTGAGGTGTGCCTTGTTGAAACCCTGTGTGACCTAAAGAGAGGGCTGAGTGTTCATGTTTTGTCCCCGACAGAGACCTGGATGCATTTAAAAATGTCAGCCTCTAATGGTAACAGCAAAACTAACCTCAGGACACAAATCGGCACCTGCAGGGTAAAAGTGAGATTACACAACACAACATTAAATCATCTAAAATGTCTTGCAGTTTGAATGTCAGTGAGTCACGTGCTCTGTGTTGGTGCAGGCAGCCGCCAGATCCTGTGGCTTTGTCGGAGTGCGAAGACGCGGTTATTTCTGAACAAAGGACCTTAAATGTGATAATATTACCCTGTCCTCTCTTCCTTTAAGACTTGTAGTTTCCATTTAAAGGACAGCTGTCCGTGTTCCTCCACACAAGCATGCAGTTTTCAGAAGTCCACCTTGGCTGAATGTCTCTCTGCAGCATACTGTTATGTTTCTCCTGTCAAAGCTGTGAGTTAATTGAAGCGTTTGGATTAAAATGTAGGTTCAAACCTGGAAATTAACAGCTTTTTAAACATGTTTCAGTTCCAAAAAGCAAAATAAATCTTTAAGCAATAAAAAAAAAAAAAAAAAAAAAAAAAAAAAAAAATGGAAGGTGGCCAAAAAAAGAATAAAATGTCCGGGTTTTCG